CACCCAAAGGATCTCGTTACCATTATCTTTCTCTACGCCTTGTACAAAATTATGACATTCCTTCCATAGTTTTGTTAGATATATACCTTATTTTCTATTGTCCCGTTGATATCACCAGAAAGACATGCTTCACAACAAAAACCATATGTTGCTCCGCAAGTAAACTCCTAGAACTAGGAATGGTCAATAGCATTACCATACCCAAAGACATGCCATTAGAAGTTTTAGAAGCTTTTAATTTTCTCGATCGCTTAAACTAAGCCATTCTTTTTGAACAATCTCATTGGTACCAAAACTACATGCCAGAAAGTCCAATTCTCCTTCAAATCCATAGCACTTCCCCAGAATGGGTAAAAGATGGAGCTATAATTCTTAGACAATATAGGATCTATATTAATTCAGAGCAAGTTGAAGTTCAAAACCAGTTACAACACACCTCTTATATTAATGATTTTCGTAACCATATAGAACCAGCAACATTTGACCATTTAATATACTATAAAGCATATCGACAGCTTAACCTAAGTTATAACCATGGTTTCAAATTTCTAGATCATAATATTAATATGGAGATTTTTATCAAAACCAGAATCCCATATGTCCTCAAATCCCCCCCCCCGGAAATTGAAATATAACCAGAAGTTGCTGTTATAATAGATAAGGAAGAAGAATGCATCAGAGGACTATATGCTTAGTTAGATAATCCATCAGATGGAAACAACAGCTCACTAGACAGCACTGAAGAAAGAAATTTGTGTAATATGCTAGAAGTGTAATAATTTCGCCAGAAGAATCTAAAGAGCACTCCAGAGTCGAAAAGTCCACAGTTGGATTCACTTTCAGGGACCAGTTATAGATAAGATTCTATCAAAAAAGCAGATTTTGAAGATAAGAATCCACCAAAAAGCAGATTTTGAAGCCACAAATTTCTGAAGGACAACAATTTAAAGATAAGGATGTCCTGCAATAATTCAATGAACCTTATCTCCAAAGTATCTTACATCTCAGCCATATATTCAACATCTGCAATCTCAAGCGTTGATCCATCTCTCAGATCACTCTATAAAAGGAGGCATTCAGCTCAAGAGAACATCATCGAGTCTTAACAATATCGAGTTTAGAGTAATCAAGTCTAGAACTATCAAGCATTCCAGCCTTCAGCTTCTTAGTGTGTTTTCTTTTGTGATTTCTTTCAGTGTGTTTCCTTTTGTAAAATATTGTGTGAGAGTGTACCCATGTATAAACAGTGTGTACCCATGTATATATATCCCATGAAATAAATCATCCATTTTGCTCTTATTAAAAAAATTCATTTTCTTTATTTAGTATTTTCAGTACTTTCGTGCAAAAGACTTTGGTCGACAAAAAGATCAAATATATAGATTTTATTTAGCCAGACAGTGTTGATTCTAGAATTTTCTTGAATCCAACCAGTATAAGTAGCCATAGTTTTAATTTAGCAATTTCTTCTGTGAATTGACTCGAACTGTTGGCTTGTTGACTCATTCTTACCAGTGTTCAGGCATCTTTATAGGGCGTTATCAAAGCGTTATCAGGTTCGGTAGTCAATTCTGTGATTTAATTGTTAAATTTATCTCTATGTTATCTCTATGATATTGCATGCTTCTATCTTGGTAGCATTCGATTTGATTTCGGTATCGGAGCCGTACTGTTTCGTTAAATTTAATTTTTATATAAGATCTTTTGTCTAAAGAAGTTTATAAATCCATATTAATCTACTGTGAAACTTTAATTTATTATGAAAAAATTAAAAAATAATTAAAAAAAATTTGTAAGTTCATTTTATAGAAATAATTTGTGTGGTCCTTCCATTTTTAAGAAAAAGTTTGTGTGGTTCTTCCATTTTCTAGTTTTAGCCAAAGTTTGACCTCATTATATTGTAGTATTTGGACCTTAAGCCCATGTATTGGTAAAAACCCCTGTTTTCTATTTGACATCCTCCAAGTGGGAGGATGTATTTGTACTTTTACTTATTCCTATTTATCATTTTACTTTGTCATAATCATATACAAATATTGAGGGGCCTAATCTACTATTTGAAAGAGAATTCTAATAAGATTATATGGTCAAAATTTTATACCAAAATTCATTTGTAGTAAATTATACAAATTCGTTAAAATTTTATACACTCTTTAGTTTAACCAAAGATGCATCATTTGAATGGATGGTTATGCCTTATTGGAGCGACTTATAAAAGGGCGAAGATTTACATTATTAGCTTTGACTGTCTCCAGTAATTTCATTTTAAGTTATTTTGAACTAGTTTTGGTGCACTGAGATTAATTTAATATTGACAACTTAATAATATAATTTATGTATTATGTTCTTTGTCCAAATTATGGTGATTTTGAATTGATAGGTGTTGATTTCACGCTTCGAGGGTCCTTTCGCTCTCACTCTCCACGCACAATATAGTTTCTACTTTTTTTACCTAAGAGCAGCTCCATTAGTGTTGCCTTTGGCGAAATTGGCCCAAATTTTGGAGACTGCTTGCTCCAATGGACTATGGAAAAAGTGGGCTACCAAATTTTGATCGCCAAGCAGGTCGCCAAAAAGGACGATTGTGAAGGCAATTGTGGCTCACTTTTTGTGGGCCCATTTTTGTTTTCTTTTATTTTTTTAATTCAGGCCCAGAACACTGTTCCTAATGGCATGCTTTGCTGAAATAAAAGCTAAAATTTAGATTTTTGGCTTTATTTTGGTCTTTATTTTGTTTTTTTTTTCCTCAAAATAATTGAACCAAAGAGCCGTTAAGACATTGTTTAGCTGACACAAACAATGCCTTAAAGGTTTTTTTGGGCAAAAAAAAGTTTTAAAAAATTTTAAAAAAATGATTTTTTTTTTTTCCTTTTAAAATTTTCAATGTTCCTATTGATATTATAGCCGTTTTAGGTACTATTTGGTGACCCAAATAGTGCCTTAAAGGCTATATTGGCTAACCAAACAAAAAAAAAATTATTTTGTTTTTCCTAACAAATTAAAATTTATTTTAAAATATGATTTTTTTATTAAGAAAAATGTGTCTTTGTTTTCACTATAAATTAATAAATCAAATGATATTAGATATTGCATTGTTTACAATATTTCATACATATTGGCTAAATAATTTAATTAACAAACAATTTAATTATTTATTTCAAAATAAAACATTACACAATAAATATTCCATTACATAAACTTCATAACAATTTAAAAATAAAATAATGCTACATAAATTAAATACGTTCTTCACCAATGCGGTTCCACAAATTTTCAATTAAATCTCTCCTCAACCGCATATTTGTCTTTTTGTTGCGAATTTGGGCTTGACGAGAGTAGATGTGTGCACTAATGGATTTTGAATTAATGTGGGAATCGAGATTATTTCCTCCGGTGGCGGAGTTATCTTCCAACATTGGCATGGCGCTCATCTTCAATGATCATGTTGTGAAGGATGATGCACGTTTTCATTATAAGGCACAAGTCCCCTTTATCCCAAAAACGCACTAGTCCTTGCGTTATTGCCCACTTGCTTTGCAAGACCCCAAAAGCCTGTTTTACATCTTTCTATAGGCCTCTTATCTCTGAGAAAAAAGTTTTTCTTTTACTGTAGTTGGGTGTGGGATGGTCTGCATCAAAGTTGCCCACTTAGGGTATATTCTATCAGATAGGTAATACCCCATTGTATGGTAATGGCCATTCACAACGAAATTAACCGGAGGAATTTGGCCAATAACGATACTGTCGAATACTGGAGAATGATCTAACACATTAATATCATTGTGTGAACCTGGCATTCTAAAGAATGCATGCCAGATCCACAAATCTTTTGAGGCAACTGCCTCTAATATGAGTGTAAGCATATGAGAGTGTCCTTTGTGCGTGCAATGCCACGCCACCGGACAATTCTTCCATTCCTACTGCATACAGTCAATAGAACTAAGCATACCCGGGAGTCCTCTCTCCACCCCTTCTTGAAATAGTTGTGTTATGTCTGCTTCATTGGGTGGGCGCATATACTCTTCCCATACACACCAATAACAGCCTTACAAAATGTCATCGGGGTTTCAATGGCAGTGCTCTATCCGATTTTAATATACTCGTCACAATGATCGACTGCACAACCATATGCGAGTACACGTATTGCAGTTGTCATATTTTGTATAGAAGACAATCCCAAACGACCTGTTGTATCCCTTTTTTTGATGCAGTAGTCATCATAAGCTTTAACATTATTCAGGATATGAAGAAATAGTACTCGTCACATCCTGAATCATCTGTGAAAGTACTCCGGTGGATATGTGCAATTCATGTCCAAGTAGTCTTTCATTAGTTGACGGCGGTTTCCCTCTCGATCACGATAAATGTACTGCCTCTTACGCGGTTTAAAAACTTGCTCTACTATTTTCTGGGTTCACTGAATTCAAAATCTCACGAAAGGCGTCTTGATTACGTTGAATCATCGAACTTGACAAAGGAAAAAATCGTGATGAGGAAGCCACTGAAATTTTGAGATTAAAAGATATGTGAATTGATATTTTACTAGAAAAAGTTGAGATAAATGTAATGATGATGAGATGAACAAATGGTTGTTTATATAACATGAAAAATATAATCGTTAGGAAAAAGTTAAAAAATCAATTTTATTTTAAATTTTAAAATATTAAAATTTTTAAAGAGCAAAAATACATCATTAAAATACATGCCATAATTAATATTTGAAGATTCTAAAACGCGGTCACGATTACGAAAAAATACTGACCGATCTCTTAAAAAATACTAACGCGGTAGAGACAGCCTAAATCTGAAAAGCTTATTCAAAATGCTCTAACACGACTTTGATTTTACCGCTACGCCTTTCTTACTGACGTTCAAAAATTCTCCCGCTTCTTAGGTAAATAGCAGTATTCTCTCTATTTTATCTTATTCTTCTGGGAAACAGAACTGACAGTACAGTTGAGCACCAACAACTCAGCAAAAGCACATGTTGAATGGCAATTGGAAAGCTTCGATTTCAGACATCCCAATATCTTGAACAACTACAACTACTTTCTTTGACTAATATATACATAGTATATATATGTGTCACAATTTACAACTATATTAGGATGGAAGTAGTTTGTATATTTTTATCAAAAAAAGAAAAAAAGTAGTGTGTATATATATATATACCTCTTAAGTGTGTCTCTCCACCAAACCCATTCCATCTTATTTGGCACTAATTGCGCTGTTATAAAAATAGTATATATATAAATTCTTTTTTTCTTTCTTTATTTTGGTTGAACGAATCATCTGGACAACTCAGAAAACAAGAGTTGTTTAATGGACAAGCTCAGGCAATCCCTCAGATCACAAGCTGAACTTCTGATCAGCAAAACGACCAAAAGATCACCTACTTGTTTTGCACCAAAACCACCATCACATGGCCCAATCCGTCGATTCCGGCGACCGTGGAGACGTGGTCCTCAAAATCAACGGCAAAGAAGTTCCCAGAGAGACTAAATATGATCACCACCTCACATCAAAGTCACCGTCCAATAGTACTAATGGCGGCCACAAGAGTGCTAACAAGAAATGCAGAGACTCTAGCTACGGTTTCGATTTCGTTGCCAATTCTTCTTCACCTTCCTCAAAATCACAATGTTCGCCTTCCTTGTCCAGAATTGGTGAGAGTCCAAGTTTCGCCCAAGTCTCCCCCAAAGGGGTTAGGGTTTCGTTCAATGAAGTCACCCACACCGAACGACGCTCCAATGGCAGCGGAAGAGAAGGAGAAGACGAGTGTGTTATGGGCAATAATAGTTCAAACTCCTCATTTCGGCAAAAATCGAGCTTGTTGAGGACGAAATCGAAGTCGAGGCTGATGGACCCACCAGAGGAAGATCAGAGGTCTCAGAGAGCAGTACTGTTGGGGAAAGGTAGTCCTGAAGTTGATGAAGATGACCCTTTCTTGGATGATCAAGATTTGCCTGAAGAGTACAAAAAGTTGATGAATTTCAGTACACTGACTGTGCTTCAGTTGGTAAGTTTGATTTTGATTATAGCAGCCTTGATTTGTAGCCTTTTAATTCCGAAATTCAGGAGGGTAACACTGTTCGAACTTCATCTGTGGAAGTGGGAGCTGATGGTGTTGGTTTTGATCTGTGGTCGATTGGTGTCTGGCTGGGGGATTAGGGTGGTTGTTTTCTTTATTGAGCGCAATTTCCTATTGCGGAAAAGGGTTCTTTATTTTGTGTATGGGTTGAAGAATGCTGTCCAGAATTGTATTTGGTTGGCCTTGGTTTTGATAGCTTGGTACTGTATTTTCAACAAAAAGGTTGAGAGGGTGACTGATGGACAAGTCTTGCCATATGTGACCAAGATTTGGGTGTGTCTTTTGGTGGGTACCTTGATTTGGCTCCTCAAAACGTTGCTGGTCAAGGTTCTTGCTTCGTCTTTCCATGTGAGCACGTTTTTCGATCGGATTCAGGAGTCTTTGTTTAATCAGTATGTGATCGAGACGCTCTCTGGTGCTCCGTTGATCGAAATTCAGCAGGAACAGGAGGAGGAGGAGAGGGTCATGGCTGAAGTTCAGGAGTTTCAAAATGCAGGTGCTACAATGCCTGCTGACCTCAGGGATAATGTTTTTTCGAGGATTGGGAATGTGATAGGGAGTGGAAGACACCAAAAGAGCCCCAGGTCTGAGAAGAGTCCCAGGATTTCTAGTATTATGTCCAATAAGCAAGATGAAAGGATCACAATTGACCACTTGCACAGGCTGAATCAGAAGAACATTTCAGCTTGGAATATGAAGAGGTTGATGAATATAGTTCGGAAGGGGGTCCTATCGACTTTGGATGAGAGCATAAAAGATTCAAATGGTGAGGATGAGTCTTCAGTGGAGATCACAAGTGAATTCCAGGCGAAAGCTGCAGCGAAGAAGATATTCTGCAATGTGGCTAAGCCAGGGTCCAAGTAAGTTCTTAAGTACATTTCCACTTAGTTGATTGGTTGAGGCATGCCCTTCATTATTAATTTTTTTTTATAAAATTCATTCATGCATTTGTAAGCTATAATATATGTGTAAAGCATTAAACAAAAAAGCATAATATGTAATGTATAAATACCTCGATCCATTTACGTCAGTTGTAGGTGTCGATTAACACGTGGCAAAAGTCAAGAGCAATCCCCATATGACAGACAACCATTGCCTACCTGGCTCTCTAAAAAATCGAAGGAAAACCTTGGCATTGTGTTAGGTCATCAAACGTCGAATGTGCAAACCCTCGAGTTCTATGAAAACCCCAATAGCCACGTCAGGTAATCAAACATCGAGAATACAATCCTTGAGTTTAGAACAAACACGAGGACCCTACTAGGTCGTCAAGTATTGAGGTTGTGACCTTCGAGTCCAACCTTGATGTAGTGCCATGTCCTCAAACCTTAGGGCGCAGTCCTCAACCCTAAACAAAACCCTGACATAGCGTTAGGTACTCTTCAAACCTCACGACAGTCCTCGAGTCCAAACAAAACCCTAGTAGCATGCTAGGTCATTGAGTCTTGAGACCATCGTTATCGAGCCAGAGTAGTTGAGTGCAAGAGAGCAAGACAAAGGTAGGGCCTTCTCGAGCGCTCACTTACGGGACACTTAGAAGGATTTTGAATTGTAGGATGAGAAGTCAGAGTTTTCCTAGCATAAACTATAGGCCCACCAAAGGGATGGTGAACCATGTGGCTTGACAAAGGCCCTTACAATCACAATTAATATTCTGATAAGAGCCATAAGCGCTGAATGTATTTAATGTTTGCATTAAGAAAACACACCACGCTAATAAGACGCATGATTAAGGAGGGATTCGACCTCCTAGGTGTCTAAACTCTAAAGTCATTATTGCCTATCGAGATAGGTCTTGGGTGTTGACTAAGCTCATTGAGGACCATTGGGTATTACCTAATACCCTCAGACTATAAATTTGACTATTAGAGCAAGCATTAAAGGGTGAGTGAAAGCTTACACACTCATATACGTACAGAGGCAAACATTTCTACCTTCACATGAAGATTCCATTGGCTAGTATATTTCTTCTCCTTCATCTATATCATTTTTGTGCCCCTCATATTTGTGTATTGATATCTCCATTTATTAATTAAATTTTAGTGCTCTAGTAAACAACCCTAGAACAGCAAACTTGTAGAGGTCAACCCACAAGTTGAGATCGATATTGGTTCAGTGGGATGAACAATGCAACCTAGAAAGCTAGCCAAACGAGGAAACCAGTTTCTCTTAGCATTTTGCATACGTAAAACTCTGAGACCTATAAAACTCTCAGATCTGTTGTTTCATAAGTGTACATAATTGAGGTGAAATATGCAACTTTATAGACAGGGAGATAACCAGTTTCTGTTGCTTAATTCCACCTTCTTAGGAGAAAAATAAAAACACTTCCCTCGTGAACCAATTACAAAAATGATAAAGTTACAAAATCCTATCATTACCAATCGGATATCTACTACTAAACCATTACATAATGACAGTATATCATGTGTCCAAGTCATGTGGGCCTTAAAAAATCTTACAGGATTATATTCATACACTAGGAAGCACGGACACTCCAAAATGGGCGAAGAATCCGTGTACGACACGTGTCGGACACGGACAAGCGTTGGACACGTCCCGACACATGTCGGACACGCCAAAAAACGTGTTTGGAATTTTTTTATTTTTTTTAATTTTCGGACACGGCTTTTAGACATCTCAGACACGACTTGGACACACTTTTCTGGAATTTTTTTTTAATGCTGATATGTTCTATTTTTTGTTTTGTACTACCCTTTTGGTATTGTAAATGGTAAAAGTCCTAGGTCAAATGATGGATGGGAATAGATGATAGTACACTGACTTGTTTTTGTATCTTTTTTGGGGACAAGCCTTTAGGTTTTTGTGAATATTAAGTGATAATGGTAAAGTCCTGAATGTTAATAGTCCTTTCTGTCTATGCTTTTGTATTTGGAGTAAAGTTGCAATGATGATTAAATGATACTAGATATTATTCTAATGTCTTGTTTTTTATTTGATTTTATAACTACGCAACATTGTTCTTTTATAGTTTATTAGTTATGAGTTATGATTTGTATTTTTTTTCATTGTGAGGTTGATGAAAAATAATAACACTCAGTAATTTTTAAAGTACTATATACACACACACACACACACACACATATACTATTCGCCGTGTCTGTGTCCTAATTTTTTTTGGATTTGCCGTGTCGCTGTGTCCGTGTCGTGTCGTGTCCGTGTCCCGTATCCGTGTCCGTGAATAGTGATGACGGGCTTAACGAGCAACATAAGTTGTTCAATAATGATCTAATCCCTTTTTCATGTACTTGAGAAATACCTGCATCATTGGGTTGATGGAAATTTAAACTAGTACATGCAGAGAGGAAAATCACTTTGGGCTAGAAATCTCACTGCGCGTTGTATTTGATTCTATATTTACAAACAGAGCTAATATATCACATCTATAATTCAGGAATATAGAATAGAAACTGATAGGGACTCAGATAAATTAGCAGTTAGTGCTGAAACTTCTGTGACCATACTGTAAAATTTGGTCACCATTTATATGTTCTATGCAATTACTTTTTGCTTTTATGTGTTCCCTCTTTATTCTGGTACCGCATTTCTTTGCATTTATTTTCCAAGGTAAGCCTTAGTAGTTTGTTCTTTTATACCAGATCAATCTACCTTGAGGATCTGATGCGCTTTTTGAGAGAGGATGAAGCCTTGAAGACCATGTGTCTGTTCGAAGGAGCAAGTGAAAGCAGGGGAATCAGCAAGCAAGCTCTTAAGAATTGGGTGGTAAATGATATCTTAAATTTTTTCCTTTTTCTAGGATCTTTTATGAATGACTTGGTCTAAGGTTAAAAAGTATGTTGTTCTACTCAATTTTAAAGTATGATGCATTTTATTAAGTAGAATGTTGTGCTAGTATGTGGTTGAATATCTGACAAACATGAGGCTATTTCAACTATTTCCTTTCTCAGGTTAATGTATTCCGAGAACGGAGAGCCCTTGCATTGTCTCTCAATGATACAAAAACAGCTGTAAACAAACTCCATCATATGTTGAATGTCGTCGTAGCAATCATCACAGTGGTTATCTGGCTTCTTATACTTGAAGTTACAACTACCCATTTCTTTATCTTTTTAAGCTCCCAACTTCTTCTGGTGGTGTTCATATTTGGAAACACATGCAAGACAACATTCGAGGCAATCATTTTCTTATTTGTAATGCACCCATTTGATGTAGGAGATCGTTGTGAACTGGAAGGAGTTCAGGTAGAACATATATATATATGAATATGAAGTTATGATTGTATTCCTTTTGTATTCTTGCTTATGTAGATCCTAACTTCTTTTTGTTTGGGTCTCAGATGGTAGTTGAGGAGATGAATATATTAACTACAGTTTTCTTGAGGTACGATAATCAGAAGATTATATATCCAAACAGTGTTCTAGCTACCATGCCCATCAGTAATTACTACCGTAGTCCAGATATGGGAGATGCAATTGATTTCTGTATCCACATTTCAACTCCAATGGAAAAGATTAGCACGATGAAAGAGAGGATAACAGGGTATGTAGAGAGGCACATCTTCTTTCTCTTGGTAAATTTTCCCCTTTTCAGTTTATGCAGCAACAGCAAAAGGCTTGCCTTTGTATGTCCTGAGGTGAATATATACATAATGGGAAAACACAGAGAATTTAAAGGAGTAATGGTGGAACAAAGCAACATTAATATTCCTTTGCTTAATATATATATATATATATATATATATATATATATATATATATATAGTGTCCTGCTTCGTTCAGTTTCCTCAGAACAATTTTCTGTTTTCTGAGAATTGAAGACTAGAAAACTGTACAAAAATATTTACCAACAGAGATCCTAATATGTTATTTGTTTGAGTTGCAGATATATCGAAAACAAGAGTGATCACTGGTACCCAGCTCCGATGATAGTTATGAGGGACGTGGAGGACATGAACAGGCTAAAATTCTCGGTTTGGCTTTCCCACCGGATGAATCACCAGGACATGGGTGAGAGGTGGGTTCGGAGAGCTGCTCTGGTCGAGGAGATGGTCAAAGTGTTCAGGGAGCTCGATATCCAGTACCGGATGCTGCCCCTAGACGTGAATGTGCACAATATGCCAGTTTTGACATCAAACAGAGTTCCCTCTACCTGGACAACATGTGCCAGTTGATCACATATCGAGTATCATAAGCTGCTTCTAAAATATGCACTAATGGCATTGTACAATTGCCTACTGCTCCAGAAGGGACTCAAGTATCAGGAGAGGTATGAGTTTAACTAAAACAATTGCGGGATTTAAATAGTAGGATCTGAGTGTACTTGGGCCCCACCTAAGTGCATCCAAGGAATCTCGTTCTGTTCCCTTTCGGTAATCTATCTACGGAGTATTACTTTTTCTATTTTATGTAACATAAATAAAATGTAGTGCAACATGTATTTTGCCCACTATGAGTTTGTGTTTGTTCTCAATTCTGTCATGCATATGTGACATGGTTGGAAATGTGTCTGATACGGCTAGGGAGTGCCCTGGAGCTTCAATATTTTCTTCTTATCGTTGGACACAACGGGAATGTGAAAGAGCCGAGTTGAGAATATGGAAAATTACAGAAACATGAACTCCCCATTTTTCACCTAAAGTCAAAGTCGAAAAACTCAGAGGAGGTGGGCTAATTTTCCATATATATGCGTACATATATCTCGAGAATATATACATCACACATGCTTCAATATTTCCAAAACTAAACTGACAAACAGGAGAATTGCTTCACCTATCCTCATGAAATCAGCTGTAAAACACTTACTATCCAAGAAATATGCACTTTTATTAGGTTCTCAGTACTAATGACACAGAAGTCTAGCTTTCGAAACACTTCAAGAGGAACCAGCAGTCCAAATTATAGCCAAATTTAAATCATATTCAACTCTTAGACCTACTACAGCTTCCGTGGTTTTAGAATAATTTGTAACCTCATGAGGACCTTCTGTTCGAAAGCTGAGATTTCAAAACAAGCGAAAATGTTTTTACATTCTCATTGCGAATTCCAACAAAAAGTAAAATCTATAAAAGAAAGGGTGGTAGGGAGAGATGAATTCGACGAATGGTAGAATCAAAATCACTTCCAGTTGTTCGCGACAATGTCAGCCAAATCAACCACTCTTTGTGAATAACCCCACTCGTTGTCATACCAAGCAATCACCTTAACCATGTCGTCTCCCATAACCATGGTGAGTGATGAGTCAACCGTTGATGACACGTCACTGCATCTGAAGTCCACGGAAACAAGTGGCTCGTCACACACAGATAGGATCCCAAGCAGCTCCTTTTCAGAAGAATCCCTAAATGCAGCATTCACCTCCTCTGCAAATGTCTTCTTTGTAACCTGAACAACAAGGTCCACGACTGAGACGTTAGGTGTAGGCACCCGGAGGGCAATGCCATTGAGCTTTCCTTTAAGGGAGGGAAGAACAAGAGCCACAGCCTTCGCAGCACCAGTTGACGTCGGGACTATGTTGAGAGCGGCTGCTCTAGCGCGTCTAAGGTCCCTGTGGCTGGCATCAAGAAGCCTCTGGTCTCCGGTGTAGGAATGAGTGGTCGTCATGGTACCCTTTATGATTCCTATTATGTCATATTTCAACCGCGTCAACATTAACACACATTTTCGTTAACTGATATTGACGCTCATAAATGGACCTCTAACATATCAAATAAGCATGTTGGAGAAAGCCTTAACATGAAAACATATAGACATTAGGAACAGATAGTCTGTGCCTACAATGAGTACCCTGTTGAACGTTATAAATGATCAACAAGTGTAGGATGACATCCCACCGATAATATTTTTGTAGAATTTAGTTTTGAATCATTCCTAACATCTTTGAATGACTCTCGATAAGGCAACAAATTTGATATAGATCCTCAGAGTCTAAGAATTTTTAAAGCAACATGTGGCCATCCATTGATCATATAAATTTACAGTTTTTCTTGCCTAAATGGATTGGCTCATTAGCAAGATGAGAATCAAACATAATGAAATTGTGCATATATTGGACCTGTTCAAATAAATTTTCACTCTACTGGTTTCTCATGCTCAATCAGCAAAGATCATCTTAGATTGATCATCTAACTAATCAAGAATTGGCTCACATATTAAATGGATACAAATGAAATTGAAGGAACGGAATGAAATAACAGGAAATAATTATTCGGAATAGAGGAAGATGTGTTACCAAATTTCTGGTCAAGGACCTTGACAAAAGGGGCAAGGCAGTTTGTGGTGCAAGAGGCATTGCTGATAATGGGCTCGGCCGGGTTGTAGGCATCGGCATTGACACCAACCACATAGGTGGGAATGTCACCTTTCCCTGGAGCTGTGATGAGCACCTTCTTGGCCCCTGCCTCTATGTGCTTCCCTGCACCTTCACGGTCCACAAACACCCCTGTCCCTTCTATTACGAGATCGATACCCATTTCCCTATAACATTACACAGTTCATCAAAGAACAAGCACCATTAATATATAAATATATACAATATAACTATGCAAATACAATTACAATTAAATAAAGGATTTATTGCACAAAATTTCCCGAACTAGAAAATTCAAGGACTAAAAGTAACTTTACTAAACTATTGAAAGCTTCCCACCAAGGGCTATACCCTACTTCTAAATGGTTGTGACTAATTCACCCCAGAAAGGCCCAAAAATAAAAATAAAAACTATTGCAAGCTTGCAAAGATTATCACATTATCAAATTGCCCTTTAAGGGTAATTGTATAAAACCTTCAAGTTTTTAAAAGATAGGATGAGCCTAGTTCGAATAGCTCGTCGTTAACTCCCAAAGTAGAGGGTTTGAGGGTTCAAGTAGAAAATGGATTTGTGAGAGATAGTGTGTTCAAGTTCCTATTAGCACAAACAAAATGTGTGAATTATTTGACAGAAAAACAATAAAAGAAACTTTTTGTAAGCTTGCAAATAAAGCTAATAGTGTCACAAAGATTATCAAATTACCATTAAAGTTAATTACATAAAATCTTTTAAACTATTAAAGATTGGTACGTCAGCTACTTATACATCATAAAGTTTTATGCAATTAACCCAAAAGTGTGCACATTTTAGTATAGGCGATATAGCATACAAATGCTTAAGAAGATACCTTCCCCTTTGAAAGCAAGGATTTAATATATATATATATATTCCCGCAAGAAACTATCAGAATTTGAACCCTCACCTAATTAAGCAAGCTGAATTTTATGCAATTAACTCATAAAAAAAAAAAAAAAAAAAAAAAAAAAAAAAAAAAAAAAAAAAAAAAAAGCCTATAATATGTGTGTGTGAGAGGTATAAATGTGCATATATTGAAAATGTAACTTACTTCCAGGGGAGGTTGAGGGGGTTGCGGCTAGAGACGACTTTGATAGGTTTGCCATCGACAGAGATGACATCGTCGCCGACCGGCTTGACATCGGCGTCGAAGATGCCGAGGGTGGAGTCATACTTGAGGAGATGGGAGGCCTGCTTGACACCTCCGGTGTCATTGATGGCAATGACATCAAGAGGGGAGTCCTTCCTGCCGTGCCAACACCTCAAGAAGTTCCTTCCGATTCTTCCGAAGCCATTGATGGCCACCTTCAGCTTCGCCTCCACAACGCCTCTCCTGTATGTGTCGCTGTTCTTCACGCCAACCTATCGATCAACAGTCAACCTCATTACCAAATTCACATACCATAATTCCTATTTACTATCTGATATATATACACACTTGTAGTGCGGTGTACTGGAGAGTGGTGAAATCAAACCAGCAGATTTATTGCTGAGTTTAATTTCAGTAGCCTCTGGTACATACGGGCCAGAGGGTTTTGAATCGTTTGAATTTTGGGTTTTAATGGAATTTTTGGAAAAAAAAAAAAAAAAAAAAAAAAAAAAACTTCGTATAAAATAATAAAAAGAAATATATTAATCGAAAAGGACACGTTCACTGTTTTAACTAAAATAACACTAATAGATTCTCAACCCTAATATATAAATTCTCAATGCAAAAAAAAAATAAAAAAATAAAAATTTTATTGTAAAATAGTAATATGGCAATCAATAAGCAGTACTCCTCCGTGTCAGAAGATTAAATACTTATTAAATATAAGAAAAAGAAAAGAAAAAAAATTAGAATATAATTCAAAAAACTAAATTTAAATTTTTTTAAAGAAAATTAAATGAATTTAAAGAGTAAAAGAAAAAAGAAATAAATTTTTTTTTTAAAATAATATTTTTAGGGATTATTATATAATTGTTTCATATATATATATATATATAAAATAAAAATTTAACATATATGATGGGCAGAACCATGCGAGGGAGCACATGCCCGGCCCCGACTTAGTCCTTAGCTTATGGACAAACTCACAAGAGTACGTGAGAGAGAGCGATCTTTAACGAAAAAATATTGTGGAAGGCAATTGAAATTTTTTTATCTAATATGACAGATCCAAAATTTTTTAAATATATAATTTTAAAAAGCAAATCAGTAGGTAAAATTGAAAATACAAAAAAATTCAGTGGAGGAAAATTCGCCCACTGAGCCCATCATAGGTAATTTAAATGGTGGAGAATTCCTCTCTAACCCTCTTCTATGTGTTTTTTTTTTTTTTTTTTCCGAGTAATAACCCTCTTCTATGTTATTACTTCTAATATTGTCATATTTGTGTCTTTAGTACATAGCCTCTTTAAATTATTTTATCTCGGTTACAATGCACATCAACACTACTACAAAAATTATATAGAAAATTCTAATTTGTTTTCTTCTCTATAGAAAATTCTAATTGAAAGAGGCCAAAATGATTTCATCCCAGCTCATAGTTTTGCAAATTAGGAGAGATGCAGAAGTATCTAGTCTTATTCCTAGAAGCGCCAATAAACATATACAATAAAATTTTAAAAAATATATAAAAATAAATAAAAACTCGTCTGATTTAATTTAATTTAATTTTTTTTGGTAATTTAAACTCACTTGACCACAATTTGGGATATATATCAGTCTATATAGAATCCAATAGGACTAGAAATTGCCTTGTATGAGTAGGCTTTTCTAAGCAACCAGTTTCTAACAACAAATGAGTCTTAATTAGCTTTGTGAATATTTAACAAATAGTATTATTTGTAATGTATCAGAAATTTAATAAGATACAGATTTGAAACACTCACAGCGGAGGTCTGGAAGGCAACAACAGAGAGCAAGTCGTCGTGGGTTCTACGAGAAAATGGGAAGGAGGTAGAAGATGAAGTCCGGAGGCCAGCAAATTCGGAGAACCCTTTACTGTTCCCCTGCACTTGCACAAGTTTCGTCAAATTTTAGCATCACCCATTATGTAAAATCGATTTTAAAAGCCATTTTGTTCGCATACATAACACGAACTAAACACGTTTAATTTGGATCGAAAAAAGAAAAGTACTAGTAATTATGGATGTATAATGACCTGAAATGATGAATTAACTATGGAGAGAGCAGCCGAGGCCATGGCTTAGTTTTGGTGTCACTGCCACCAGCAGAGTCAGTGTGCAGCTGTAGCGGCAGTTAGATAAAGGAGGTGGATAAATGGGATGTGGGGAGGGACAAAATCTGGAAGAGGATGAGATTATTGATAGCCTCTCACTCAATGTATGGCTGTGGTTTTGTTTATTTCCTCCCACCACCATCAATTCCTTTGCCTCCAACTCTCCATAACTATAAGTCCAACTATGTCCGTGTTTTTTACAGTTGGGCCTGGCTTTTGCAATTTAATGGGCCTTTCTCTCCCTATCTGTGTGTGTGTGTATATATATATATACATAGTTACATGCACAATGTTTGTTATTTTTTGTTGAGTAATATTATCACTCATTTGACTTTTTACGATGTAAATAAACTCTTTCAATGTAATGGTTAAATAAATAAAGTTGCTACGAGAGGATTCTCATAATAACATGATTGTTTTTAGTTACTTAAAAATTCACACCCCACCTCACCTCACAGATGTACATTATGAATTTGAACGCCTCACCTTCTTTTTGAAGTAGGAAAGGTTGTACGAGTTGGGCTACTAGACCAGTGGACACACCACCTCCACAAATCCCTGTTGTGAAATTCGAACCCCCACATCCGCTTTGAAGGAGTAAATATTATGGGATTTGAATTCCTGTTGGAAATATTATACGAGATGGGCAATGAACCAGTGGCATGTACCAAGATAGGTTTATAGAGTAGAAAATGAGATTTAGTTCCTGAGATGTCTCTATGGCTAATATTGACATTTTAAAGGGTTCTCAATTGTTGGAATGAGATAAATCTTCCCTTCAATCATCACACCATCACACGTAAAGATGAAGCCTAAGTTGTATGCAAAAACCACAATAAGACTGTGATTTACAATTTTTCAATTAAAATTTTATTTTGCTTTAGCGTATACATATATATATTTTGCATATTTTTTATTTTCTTGCTATGCCTCGCCTGTTTCCTCAGTCTTGGAAACTGGATATCCATATTCCACGCCTCTAAATGGCAGAAAAATGTATGGTCCCAAAATCTAGACATGTCACCTCATATCCATATATATTCCATGTGTATTGAGTAAAAACATTGCTATGTAGGTACCATCAATTATTATTATTGTTATTATTGATAATTCACATTCTACACCCTTTCACTCTCCCAATTCTAGTCAGTGTAAACTTTTTGTCATTATTAACCAAAGTATTTATTAGAACTGATTGACTAAGAAAATCGTTGTTTTGAATACATAATAATAATAATAATAATAATAATAATAATCTCATAGTTTATCTTTCTTTCTTTTTTTCCTTGCCATAAAATTTATTAATCATCTATCTAAGCCTCTTATAATCACCGATAGATTAGTGATCTAATGGTACCAAAATCCTACTTTCTAAAGAGAAGTTAAAGATTCGAACTTTGGTGGAAGCATGTGCGTGTGAGTATTAAAAAAAATAAATAAATAAACAATTACAATGTTGAGTTTATTAGGTAAACCATAATTATCCGTAAAGAACAGCTTTGGTAAGGGACAATTTTTATTCATTTTTTCCACCCCTTCAATCTAGCTCTAGGTTTCTCCTACTCCCCGAAAAGTGAATTCTAAAGTCTGGCTTCAGCCTAATGGGTTTTTATGGATTGCTTCATCGTCTAGTCAAGTTCCTCCGCGTCTAGAAGTTAAAGATTCGAACTTTGGTGGAAGCATGTGCGTGAGTATTAACAATTTTTATTCATTTTTTCCACCCCTTCAATCTAGCTCTAGGTTTCTCCTACTCCTCGAAAAGTGAATTCTAAAGTCTGGCTTCAGCCTAATGGGTTTTTATGGATTGCTTCATCGTCTAGTCAAGTTCCTCCTCATTTGACTTGGTGTAATGCTGTAATATAACACTGGTGATATTTCCAACTTAATTTATTGAATGGAGGCCTCTTTGATTATTTATTTATCGGGTTTTAGAACTTTTAACCCTCTGCCGAATGATGATTTATGTTATAGAGTTGGTTACGTTCATTTATTACAAATATAAATCACATCAATATATATTTTTTGAAATATGAATATTTAGATGGATGAAGTGAAAAAAACACTCCTGATGTATTTTTTTGGTAGCACTTTGCCTCCCTATTTTATAAAGTGTGCATAAAACATCCTCAATGTTTTAACATTGTACAGAAAAACCCCTCAAAATACTTTTTGCATAAATTAACCTAGCAATGCCCATTCTACCCTTTTACTCTTTTGAAAATACCCATATCAAACCTTACTCACTATTCCAAAAATGTTCGGTGAGCTTCATTAATTCCGGCTAGGAACTCCCGCAAGCTGTCTGGTGAGCTCCATTATTATTATTTTTTGTTTTTTATTTTATTTTAAGAAGTTGGTCACTAAACTAATTGCAGAAACATTGCGGTACTTTGGTGTGTGTCTGGGTGTGTGTGTGTATATGTAATTATATGCGCTACAGAAATAATGTGACTGGAATAGTTGTGACTCCAGCGGTGAAGATGAGTTCAGAATGGTGGCGGCAATTGTCACTGCATGGTCCAAAGTCCAAACCAGGCGTGTGGGCACTTGATGTAGAAGATCACGAAGACGAGCTTCTTCAACAAGAGACCAACAACGACTCTAAGCACTTCAACGGCGGCGTTGCCTCCAATCACCGCCACGACACGATGGCGTACACTCTTAGTTCCACCACTACTACCCCTTGTTTCCGCTATCGAGCTCGTCGTAGCAGTGGGCAAAAGATATGCTACGAAGAAATCCTATTACGAGCCCATCTTCACTGCCTTTCAGAGTACCACATCCTCCAAACTCACCATCGTTCCCGTAAGAACAAGACCCACTGTTTTTCATAATGTGGTTTTGTGGAGTCTGATCACGTGTTGATTACGTGAAGAATTTGGTAGGTTAAATTTGTTGATTGGGTTTCTACGTTGGCTACTAGAACTTTTGAATCGGTTCAGGGTTTTTTGAATCGATTTAACTGGAATTATAAAATTGAACTTTAGCTACTACCAACGTTGAACCGGTTCAGGGGGCACTTGAACCGGTTCAAGTTGGTTAATGAATTACATAACGTAACACAACAAAGCTGAACCGGTTGAAGTAGGAGCTGAGCCAGTTCAAGTAGGAGCTGAACCGGTTTAACTCTCCAGGGAAGCTACGTAAAGTGATTTCCTTATTAGTTTTGGACTCTACAAAAGGAAACTTCTTGTAGGACAAGTTGTGTTTCATTGTTTGGGACTATATATATCAACCCTAATCAGATTTTAGGGCATGACTTGATGATGAGAGGATTATCATATGTGTTGTATGATTGATTAATTTGTGCCAACACAAAGAGAGCAATTGAGAGAAATTGAGAGAAAATTGTCCATTGTAATTCTTCATCTTTTTTATAGTGGAATTGTTCGGTGCGCTCCATGGACGTAGCCCTAATCTTTGGGTGAACCATATATATATTGTGTTCTTGTGTTTGATTGTTTTTATTCTTCGTGATTGCTTGTGTTTATTCCTCGAACATCGTTGTAGAGATGTGGTTTTCAATGAAAAGGTAATGTATAAGGATAGAAATGCAACACAATCAACTAGTTTTGTACAGTGTAAACCTGAGTTTCTTGAGTTGGATGATGAGCCAGAGAGTATTATTGTTGAACAGACAGATGAAGGTTCATGGCTAGAACTCACATATCATAGTTCACCGCAGATTCCAACTCCTTGACCTGGACCCAGAAGGACCACGTGTCCTCATGAACTGAATCGACAGTATATAGATTTTATGTTGTTCACAAATGGTGGTGAGCCTGAATGATATGATGAAGCATGCCAGGTTAAAGATGCTAGCAAGTGTGAGCTTACAATGGAAGACAAGATGAAGTCCCTTATCTCTAACAAAACATGGGAACTAGCCAAGTTGCCCATGGGAAAGAAAGTTCTTCACAACAAATGGGTGTACAGGGTAAAAGAGGAACATAATGGTTCCAAGAGACACAAGGCGAGATTGGTGGTCAAAGGTTTTAAACAAAAATAGGGCATTGACTACACTTACTTTTTTTCCCCAGTTATGAAACTGAGTACCATTCACTCAGTTCTTAGCATTGTTGCAGCTTTAGTAGTTAGATGTCAAAACTGTTTTCCTCCATTGTGACCTAGAGGAGGAAATTTACATACAACAACCGGAGGGTTTCTCAATCAAAGAGAAATAAAAACTAGTGTGCAAGTTGAAGAAAATATTATATGGTTTGAAGCAAGCCCCGAGGCAGTGGTACAAGAAGTTTGATGGGTTTATGAAGCGATATGGCTAAACAAGTGCAACGTTAACCATCGTTGTTACTTCAAGAGGTTTAAGTTAAGTTTTATTATCCTTCTATTTTATGTTGATGACATGTTAGTGGCAGGTTCTAATTTTCAAGAAATCAGCAAATTGAATGTAACGACCCGAACCCGTGGGTCCGAACCGTTAACCGGGTCCTTAACCGAACCCGAGGTCAACTAAGGACAACACCATCTTTTCTTACGTCAATACTTGACACACGAATTAGTCCAGGGTCCAAAATACACCAAGAACACAGTTTTACAAGGTGGTCACATGTGTAGGTCAAAAGGTAGTTAGCTGATGGCCCTTGGTCGGCTGGCTGACAGAGCAAGTTCGGTCTACTAACCTACATCGTCGGCCGGCTGAAACGATAGTGAAACTTATATGCTCTCGAGAATCTGCTACAGTGGCTTATTGGTCAGCTGGTGGCAAGGTATGGTCAGCCGAACCTGGGGTTTCGGTCGGCTAATGGTGAGGATTAGCCGGTCGAAACAAGGCTTCATGCCCCTGAACTCACTGGAATGGTCACCAACTGTACTCCTTATGTGCCAAACCTATGCTAGATCTATTAAGCATCCAAGTTCTGAATTCACGACAACCAAATATGACATTATACAATTGAGTGGCATCCATAATTGGACGAAATAAAACTTCATTTCCCATTTATCACGAATATTTACATAGTCGCAAGTTTATATCAAAATGTTACTAAGCGTTATAGTTACGATACATAGCCATGGTTTGGAAAACAAATACACTTTACAAAGATTTGAGACTTTATAAAAGATTGGCAAT